GAATTCAGTGGTGCATTGTTGCGGTGAGCATGCATCATCAAATACTTTCAGCACCGAGGCATTTATTTTTTAATGTTGCCAAAGCAAATACCCAGGGAGGGTTTTCGTCATATCTGACCCTTCCTAGGGCTGAGTAAAAACGAAGTGCTTAAAATAACCTCTTCAAACATACAAAGACCCGATTCCTATGTGGCAAGAAGTCTGGGACAGATCCCAGCAGCATCCTGGAAGGTAAGGAAAGGAGAGAAGACAGAAAAGATAAAGTGCGCGAGGCCACGAACTTCACCTTACCAGCCATGGCACTCCCTTCCGTTCCATGAAAGAGGAAATGCCAATATGTGTGTGTAAAGGATATCTACCAGTCTGTATAACAGAATTAGCAAAACTGCAGCCTACGCAATTCTGGAATTATGCAGTATTTTGATATCTATCTGCTACTTAGACTACTCAGTATGCACCTATATATCAATAGTTAACGTTCATATTTCTGTGCCACTTAGGATGTTTGAAGTGCACACGACGTCACAGAGCATAGATGGCTACCACTCCAGGCTTGGCCTCTCCTGCTGCTCCCGGGCACAACTAGAGAATCTCTGCAAATGCTTCAGGTCCATTCAAACTATGAAGCTTCTCTTCCCTTTGGTGCACTTGTAGTTGATACAAAACAGGCTCCAAAAAGAAACTCTCTGGCTCCAAGTCCACCAAACAATGCAAACTGGAAATGCAGACTAAGGGAGAAGTGTCTTGGTGGTTGGTAAAAAGGTAGGGCTGCCATTACCTTCTGCAGGTAAGCTGACATTTCTAGGCACAGGCTCCTGTTTTTTCCTGCAGCTACTAATGGTACCAATCAGGAACAATGGGGTTGTGGTTTGGTTTATAACATACAACACTTATCTGTTCACTGAACATGCAACACTTTGTATGTGTCCATTTAAAACTTTTATTAAGAAACTTAAAAGCTATAGTCACTTAAAAAAACTAATATAAATGTTAACATTCTGAAAGAGGATGGTGGGGGGGAAAAAGTATACACTTGAAATCCCCCAAACTCAGATTCAACAAATCTGAACCACCTTTCCTCATTATGATTCATTTCAGAAACTCTACTGAGACTAAATGTTAACATTAAAATTGGATTTGTTCTATATTAAATAGGAACTCTAAATAAATACTTGAGGTATGTTAGGACAAACAATTGTGAATATGAGACTTAGGTAAATAAATGTAAATTTACCTTGAAAATCAAAACATTAAATTTTGATGTTTCCTACAGATTTTTTTTTCTGTTTTACACAAGGAAATAATAATTACTCTTCAGAAACAGTAACACATCAAAAAAGGAAATGCTTCACCGCACTATCTTATAGTCACATCTTACCTATGTTAACCAAAACTACTGTCCGGCATTATGTAGTGTAAGAAGTGCACAATAGAGAAACGTGTCTGAACCCTGACTTGGCCACTATGTACAATCCTAAACAAATCACGTTAACTCTCTGAGCCTCAGTTTTCATGATCTGTTTAAAAAGAAGAAAAACAATAAAAATAGTTATCTTGCAAAGTTATTAAGAGGATTTAAATGCATGATGTATATTAAGTGCTTGACAAAACGCTCTGCCAATAGTCAACATTCAACAAATGCTAATTTGTTTCCTCTCTGCTGCTCCTTTCTTTCCCCTACCCTAGTTCTGAATGACTTTTGACTGTTTTCAAGAGTTACATCCACCTACAAAGGATATGGATTTCAAACTACAGAAGATAACCAAAATAATGTGTACTAACTGCCCACTCCACCCCCTGGGGTTTCTAAATTAATAGGCTAGACTCAAGGATATTATATTTGCATATTAAAGTCAAATAATACATTCATCTATAGAGTTTTTAAAAGAAGAAGGTGACCTTTCCAAAAAAATAAGTAATTAGAAGCCTAAGCTAACGGAGAGTGGCAATTAAACTTTTAACAGGAGTGGTGACTCTAAAGTAACACGACCAATTCATTATCAAGCATATAAGGACCTCATATATATATACAATTAAATGGTGTCATCTATCAAGTAGTCACTTCAGTTGACTATGTAATAGTCCAATGATGCCACCGGAACCCAAAGCATTTTGGGGACAACTCTTATTTGGTACATATTCCAAAACGTCAGTCCCCCAAGATTTTCACTTCTTATTCTAAATTCACCACCAACACAGTAATGATATACCTGCTATTTATAAGTACCAGATACTTGAGGAAGTACAATATTAACATTGTGGTGTACAGTTCAGGCCAATTTCTTTGAATTATGGCCTAATCAACCCAAAGGATTTCATAGATTGGCAGATGGTAATTGGGTAAAATGGTGCCCGATAGGGAAATGGTGCTCAGTCAGTGATGGCTGAACTGGATGACTGTTCATTGTAGAGAAGGGGGAGGGGGTCTCTAATTATACCTGATGAGCCCATCGTTTCAGATCGTAGATTTCTAAGAGTAGCTCCTTTTCAAAATGTGCTACTAAGAAGAGAGAAATTCTAAGAGTGCTGGAACACACAATCTTAGCTACAAAAAAAAAAAAAAATGCCAATCCCACTAAAATTCTCTCAGGGCAGTTTCTTAACCATCAGAGGAAAATTAAGAAAATACCTATTCCCAATCTACATATCTTTAGCTCCAACACAAAACGAAACTTTCTCTTCTAAAGGATTAAAGATCTCCCACAAAGGGTAAAGGGGATCACTAAGACCCCAGAGTAGACATGAAGATAATCAGCAAAATTCTCTGAAGACCTTCAAACTACACCAAGTTGACCAAAGTTTGACAGACACAGTGTAATTACAGGCAACGATGCTTCTTATGACTTAGACGAACAAGTCTGCCCCAAGGGAAGTCCTTGTCACCTGGGACCACTGACTCCACCCCTTGTAGACATTATTTAGTCTAACAATGAGAACCCTCTCCATAAACTGCATGCAACCAAGAAAGCCATTTGACCAATGACATTCCTAGGTAAAGACAACCTTGAACCCAGGAATATTCACACAACTCCACCTATGCAGCCATGGATGGAGGGCAAAAAGCCAGAATCATGGGTCAGTCTCATCCCTTCTGTGGAAGACTGTAAATCAGCCAAGGAAACCATTTCCCAAATTAGCCTTACAGAAGCATAGGCTCATTGGCAGAAACCGTCCACAATCATACTGATATTTGTACGTTATAGTCCCTCCTAAGTCTGAGTTGTCATGATTCTTTTTCTGAGCAGCCAGATTCCATGAGTTAACTTGCCATCAGTCCACAGTGCCGTCAGGAGGCATCTACCTTAAGGACCATGTAGAAAACATTCTGTGTGGCATCTAAATCAAAGTGATGTGCTGGGAGATACTGAAAAGGATGATGGATGTTGAACACCAAGGGCATTTGGCAACAGAAAAATCATCTCTCAGAGTCACTTCAAGAAGGTTACAGTAGAAAGGTATTAAATGGAGGTATAAAATGATTCAGATAAGGTAGGATTCAGTACGACAGACCAGTTTATTTTGCATAATTTTTAACCATTACTTGGGATCATAACCTAAATCCAGCTCACAGATCTCCCTCCTCCTGTGTTCAAGGTGATCGTCCTAATTAAATGACATCATTTAACAGTGACTGCAGCAATTTTCTGCACATAAAAAAGAAAGCTACACATGGGCTAGTGCTTCCAGGTATATAACTAAAATGGTCAGGTGAGACTCAATCTTACTTCTGTGGGATTTCTTTTTCCAACTATTTTGAGTGTCAAGGTTACAATCCTCAACAACCCTTATGTGGGCCCTTAAAAGCTAAAAGAGGGCTTCCCTGGTGGCGCAGTGGTTGAGAATCCTCCTGCCAATGCAGGGGACACGGGTTCGAGCCCTGGTCTGGGAAGATCCCACATGCCGCGGAGCAACTAAGCCCATGCGCCACAACTACTGAGCCTGCGCTCTAGAGCCTGCGAGCCACAACTACTGAGCCTGCGCTCTAGAGCCTGCGAGCCACAACTACTGAGCCTGCGCTCTAGAGCCTGCGAGCCACAACTACTGAGCCTGCGCTCTAGAGCCTGCGAGCCACAACTACTGAGCCTGCGCTCTAGAGCCTGCGAGCCACAACTACTGAGCCTGCGCTCTAGAGCCTGCGAGCCACAACTACTGAGCCTGCGCTCTAGAGCCTGCGAGCCACAACTACTGAGCCTGCGCTCTAGAGCCTGCGAGCCACAACTACTGAGCCTGCGCTCTAGAGCCTGCGAGCCACAACTACTGAGCCTGCGCTCTAGAGCCTGCGAGCCACAACTACTGAGCCTGCGCTCTAGAGCCTGCGAGCCACAACTACTGAGCCTGCGCTCTAGAGCCTGCGAGCCACAACTACTGAGCCTGCGCTCTAGAGCCTGCGAGCCACAACTACTGAGCCTGCGCTCTAGAGCCTGCGAGCCACAACTACTGAGCCTGCGTGCTGCAACTACTGAAGCCTGCGCACCTAGAGCCCGTGCTCCACAACAAGAGAAGCCACCGCAATGAGAAGCCTGCGCACCGCGATGAAGAGTAGCCCCCGCTCGTTGCCAACTAGAGAGAGCCCGCGCGCAGCAACGAAGACCCAATGCAGGCAAAAATAAATAAATAAATTTATACTAAAAAAAAAAAAAAAACTAGAAGAATTTCTGCAGCAATTTTCTTTGGATGAGAAAGCCATCAGTTTCTTTCCTTATTATGCATCTCAAATGACAGTTTCTAGCCATATTGTTTAGCACACGAGTGTTAAAACCCCTTATAAAAGAATCCTGAAGTTGATATTCAAGCTCTCAGGTTCATGATTCAGCAGTTTCATTAACTCCTTTACGGTGGGGCAGAGAGACTAAAAGAGAATGTGTCTTATGAAACGAAATAGCTGTTCCCTTTTTCACGCTACGCTTAAGGTTCCTTTGAAGCCTTTGAAAAGTTCTACCTGATTTTTAGCTCTGCTATGGCTTACAATGCTATTAACAGTACTTTAGGGAAAGTTTAGCTTCCTAATTTCAGAACCATATCTGCTTTAGTCTCTGACACCAAAAGTAACATGCTGCACTTACAGTTTCCCAATCAAATTGCATAGTTGAGGCAAATTCATTTGTGCTTTGTAGCAGGACTCACAGTAGATGTTCATATCTAAAAACTTTGCTTTGTAAATGCAAAATCATGGTCAAGCTCCCCCTTGTTCAGAGCGCATGCTAATGATATGCACCGCCATCACACTTCCCATGATTTTGTTAATCATGCACCCAGCCTTATACCATATTGGAGCATTAGCGTCAAAATTAACTCAGAAATGGTAACAAATCTATCTAAACTCCTTCTTCTTGGAGAGAAGGGGGGAAAGGCTCAGTCTTGTTGAGGTATCCAGCCCTCAATCAATAGTGGCTGTGTATACTGAGTTTTGTTGGTTTGAGGATTGTGTCTTTAGAGGTTAAAAAAAGAAAGAAAAGAAGGCACGGGTGTTTCTCAAGTCACCATATTCAACTCAACCAACAAAAGTCTTCCATTTTCAAGCTTCAGAAGGGAGGCTACATGGCAGCAGGGCTTTCTTCCAGCCCCTGGTCTGGGGAGGAACTTATTGCTTCTAGGAAGGGCCCCGGATAGGTCTGTGCTGTGTACTGGATTCCTTTTGGCAGACCAGTCTCTTCGTGGAATTCTCCCTGGGTGCTGAAAGCTGGGCAAGATCTAGTCCGGACAGACTTATCGGCACTGTCGGTGTGGCCCACCGTCTCACTCACAGTGCTCAGAGGGAATTCTCTCCACCTCTGCCTCTGTAGTTCTTCCTCCTTGTATTTAATGGAGTACCAGGCCAAAAAAATAAAAATGAAGCCAACAAATTTGAGGCCGGCTGCCAAACCAAAATAGACAAAACGAAATGATGTGACATTGTACTCCCAGCAAGAGCCCTGCACGCCACACTCCTGTTGCCAGAGCATGCAGGTGGTGTCAATAACTGCTCCAAAGTAAATGGGAGTAGGAATGTATGCTAGAGTTGTCGGAAAAAAGAAAAAGAAAAATAGTTAGCACATCTTATAAGAGGAAACAGAACTGTAAATTAACAGGATGCTTGTTTGCTCTAAAAACCAGTTGAAGGGAGTGGTTTTCTCGTGTAACTTGATTTTTTTGTAAATATATACCACATCTTGTCATAATATTCTTATCATAGAAATGTTCACTAAATTGTAAATACTTTAAATCTTTTAGTTTGCAACTCAGTCAGAATGTGTTTTGATTTTTAGGCATTTTATGATATTTTTTAATAATTTATTATTATTTATTATAGTTAACATATTATGATGTAAAATGTCTGAAAAGCATTAACACATCTTTAGACATAAAAATTTCTTTGATAAAAATGCAATGAGGGAGGGGAGCTCCCTGGCGTTCCAGTGGTTAGGACTCGGTGCTTTCACTGCCGTAGCCCCAGGGTTCAATCCCTTGTGCGGGACCTAAGATCCCACAAGCCTCTCTGCCCAGCCGAGAAAAAAAAGAAACGCAATTAGGGAATCCCTTTAAACTTAAAAAATAAGATTTTATTATGAAATACACAACTGGCCATATTAGAACCCTTTATGATCCACAAAAATCCAGTACACTTAGTTCTTGTGGGTTGGGTTCTAGCCTTGGATGCAGGAAGAGTACAAGGCAAGCACTGTGCCCTATAAGTCGGAAACCACATCAAATGGCTCTTGGAGTACGGAAATAAATAAAGCATAATATTCATCTTTACAGCTTATGCAGCACCTGTGACGAGGAGCAGCTTCATTGTTTGGGCTACCATGTAGACATTTCTTTACTCCCATAAGGAAAAATGTGTACCCAAGTAGACCTCCTTCATCACATGCTACTCCCTTTGCTGAAATGTGTCCCCATTCCCAACTTGTTCACCTTGCAAATATCTACTCCCCCTTTAAATTCCTGACTCATTCAGATGCTACCATATTACCATTGCTTGTTGTGTACACCTCCATTTTGTCCACTATCACCCAGTATTTAAACTATTTGTAAGTCTGTCACCCATAAGCTCCTCGATGGCAGGGACCATGCCTTTTATTCTTCACATCCCAAGGACCTATCGGGACAGCCCATGGATCCTCAATAAGAGTTTATAAAAGGAGGTGATGAATGGAAGGAAAGGAAGAAGAAAAGAGAGAAGGGAGGAAGGGAAGGAGGAGGACAGGTGGGCTAATAGCCCAGGAGGCTGCGAGTGGTACATTTTCATCTTTTGGTTGCACCGCACGGCATGTGGGATCTTAATTCCCTGACCAGGGATCGAACCCGAGCCCTCTGCAGTGGCAGCACGGCGTCTTAACCACTGGACCACCAGGGAAGTCCCCCAGGTGATACATTTTTAAATACGCTGTATTCATTTAAAAGGAGATATGGTCACTACAACTGAAATGTAACATTATTGGGCTGGGCAAAATAGATGAAGGGGATTAAGAGGTACAAAACTTAAATCATAAATAAGTCACAGGGATGTAATACACAGCATAAGGACTACGGTCAATAATATTGTAATAATGTTGTATGGGGATAGATGGTTACTGGACTTATCATCGTGATCATGTCGTAATGTTTGCAAATGTCAAATTGTTATGTAGTACACTGGAAACTGACATAATATCGCACATCAACTATGTTTCACTTATTAAAAATTTAACATCATTGAAATACCTGAAACTCTCTTTTTGCTTTGGCACTTGGGGAAATGGAAGGTGGCTGGTTGGCCTAACTATACATTTTCATAATCAGTGGAACTTAAGGTAAGGTTGAATTAAATAATAAATGCCTGATATGTTTGTTCTCCCTCCACTAATTCCTTATGCTGTGGTGTGCATCTCTTGACTGATTCCGCATCCATATGAAATCACCCAAGCCCCTGGCATCAGAGACAGGCCAAGCAAAAAGGAGAAACTACTTTTTTCTTTTCTTATTCAACTACCCCTTTGCTAAACAAATTTCCTTCTTTGAAAATAACTTTTTTGTTTTCAATGAGAAGTATAAGGCAAACTTCTTAACTAAATCAAAGAATGTCAGTAGTTCCTTGAACCAGCATTCTTTGGAAAACTGTGCTTTCAAAGTATTAATGTTACCAAAAAAATAAGCCACCCAGGGAGTTCTCTGGCAGTCCAGTGGTTAGGACTTGGTGCTTTCACTGCCATGGCGGGGGTTCAATCCCTGGTCGGGGAACTAAGATACCAAAAGCCGTGTGGCACGGCGCCCCCTCCGCAAAATAAGTAAAATTAAAATCTGATATTAAAAAACCTAATAATAAGCCACCTAATTCAAAGCAACCAGAAGCCTTTGACGCCCACTGACAAGTCCTCACTCTAAGTCTGGGCCATCAAGCACAACATGAGACAAAATGAGAATTTCAGAGAGCATTCATGTTGTCAAGGGCCAGATGATTTTTAAGGGTTTAAAATGTTTCATCCTTCAAGATTGAAATAAGCAGCTTGAATCAAAGAAGTAATTTTTTGTGCTGTGGACAATGATGCTGATTACTGGGGGAAATAACAGCTGAAGAAGATGACAGACTGCCTCTTAAGAAAGAAAAAATATGCCTGACGATGAGGAAGTCATATAAAAATACACTGAAATCCATCAAGGGAATGGGCCACTTCACACGCTGTTTCCCAGTCTCTGTCCCAAGACATCACAAGTGATGCAGTGCTTGTAAAAATCAGAAGGCTATTCTTATGTCCAAATAAACTCTGGGACTTACCCCATTGACATGGCGCTAACGAGCTTCTTTTGTTAATAAGTAAAACCTAGTCCTTATATATCAGTTTGGAAAACTTTCTCTTTTTTTTTGTAGAATTTTTAATTTCTTTTCCTCAGGAAACTTGATCGGTATACTCTTTACCCAGCCCAATAAAATGACTGGAAAGAAGTAAGGAATTGAAGTTTTCACACACACAAAAAAACGAGCACCAATTCCCATCACTTTCATGTTGCAAAGGCACAAAAGGGTCATAAGCCCGTAACAATTTCTTGGTTCAAGATTGCTTACTCTACAAAACTCTGGGGAATTTAGCCCAAGTTTATGTTCCCAGTGAAAGAGAAACTGATCTAAAGTCAGTTTTGTTTTCTTTCATCAGTGACAGAATTGGTCAGCTTTTAGTCCAAGTCAGGAAATGAGGAAGTTGTGCCTCACCACTAACCTGTGAAATCCTAGCTACTGTGAATGGTAACAAATGACTTGACTTGCCATTTTTAAAGGACAGTGGAAATTTGCCATCTACAAAGAGGAACAAAGAGGCACTCTTGGAAATACAGGAACATACCAAGTGTTCGCAATAAAACAAACTGCATTCCCAGGGCAAAAGGTCTCTCTTCATTTTCTACGGACCTACAAAGAAGGTAAAGAAAGAAATGTTTTAGAATAATGGCCTGAGGAAAATGAATGTCAAATCAAGCTTGCTTAGCTGCAGAGCCAGGGACCAAACATGCTGGGCCAAAATACTGAATTCGCTAGAATTTACTAACAATAGCAGAACAAGACTGCTTATGGCTAAATCACCGAATTAAGGTCTCCCCAGTGAGACTGCAAAGAAACTCCGAATGAACTCTACTTTTTGTGTAAATAACGGTGGAAGGACAAAGGTTCAGAGCTCAAGGTATAGAAGGTGAAGGTACAGAAGTGGCTCTAAGTGAGTTTGCTGAAGGTACAGAAGTGGCTCTGAGTTTGCAAAATCAATTCTGTTAAAAAAAATTATATATATATATATATATATATATACATATAGCATTTTATCCTAACTATTGCATTCTTTTTCTCTGTTTGCCTGCACTTTCCAGAATAGTAGGTGTGTACACTGAACACGACTCCTGTAATTTCTCAAGTATAGAGAAAAAAGGTTTTTTTAAAAAATGGTCCCAAAATGTGTAGGAAACAAGTCAAAAGTTAGAAAAAGAATGAACCCTCCCCAGTCACCTCCCATTCTCTTCTTTCCATAAAACTTATGCTCCAAGTTAATTCCCACATGGCAGGAAGATTGGAGTCTTATGGATTTTGTAATTAGTAAAGAATAAAGGGCTCCTTTTCTCAAGTTTTGGGTTCGAAGCCAACTGGTGATCTGCCATGTTTGAACATTATAAAATGGGCAGCCCTTATCTGGGTTATTTAACATCTCTTGTAGAATTAAAGTTCAAAGTATTAGATTATTAATGATTCACATTTTTTCATGACAAAGTACTTTATCCTTTCTATCCCATACACATAGGGGTCTCAGTATGTAACGTAAAATTCCCAAGGACCAGCATGTTTGTCATCTCTTCCGCTAACTTCTTTATTTTCTCATAGCAATTTCCCCAGTGTGGAACACATTTTTGTTACTCCGTAAGTATCTGCTGATGGAGGAATTGAGTGAGTAAACCACTGGGACCAATGGGACTTTCGTGTGCTGTTATCTGTCAAGGAATGCATCGGCTGAACATCCTCTAACTCAGCATCCCATAGAAGGGAAGCCAGAATATGCAGAACAAGCATGGGAGCAGCCCAACTGCCCTGCTACGAATGACGTCTCAGCAGATGCATCCCCCCAGGTGCCCAGCATTGTGGGGTACTGAGGAACCAGGGAGGACATAAAAGGGAGAATAGAGACTGACACCCCTCACTCCCTCATCACCCTGCATCCCAGCCCCCCTAAGGCTGCTGTGGGCGTGCTTTTGTTTCTTCACCACGCTGCCCCCTTCCTTCCTTGGTCCACTGCAGTCTTTACTGCAAATACCAAAACTCTGATCCGAATGTGCTGGTGTCAGCATTTTAAATAGGGCTTCCATTAAGGTAATTTTCACATTCTCTCTTAGAAGCCAAAAAACACAAACAGGATATGTAACACAGCAAAGAAAGCACAGCATGAACAACTTAATAAATACGTTTCCAGGTCTGCCCTTTCCTTGATTCAATGTCAAAATTTTATGACAGTGAAATTAATTAAAGCAGCATTTGGAACTGCAAGACCAGCAGCAATGGCACGGATCCTGGAGTATTAACCACCCACAAGGTTGGAGATAATAGTCTTCGCTATGTGCACAATTTAGCAACTTCCCCAAATGACTTGCCGCCTCCTCTAGGGCCAGGTTTCTTGTAGCTACAACGGTCACGGTTTTCAGTTCATGAACTTGAACCTTTTAGGGTAGAGACTTCAGGGACCAAAGGCACCCAAAATAAGTTTCCCTGAACTATAGGGAGAGAACGCACCTGAATAAAGAAAGTTCGGAAGTATGAAATGTTACCATCTTCCTTTCCTTTCCTGACATGGGAAAACTCCCTTCTCTTAAGTTCACCAGGTAAAGGTCTGAGCACTTTCCTGCACAATCTCACTTTGCTTTCCTCTCTGTTTTACCACATCAGCCCCCAGTCTGGACCAGGAATTCTGGCAACTCTGAGTGTATAACCCACCCTAGACGTTGAACGCTGTCCTCACCTGAGAGTTACTATGATGGCTGATGGCTGGGCACATGCTGTGATGAAGGTCACTATGAACAGAAAAACTAAGAACGGGATGAGGGTGTTACAGCTCCGTTTACACTTCCCAGACACAGCATAGCCGTTCTCATTGAGATACGTTTTGACAATAACCACGCGGACCTGGCTGCGCTGCCCCACTGTGGGAGGCGTGATCACTTGGCGGCTTTGGACACAGGTGCACTCTGTGTAATTCCGTATCTAAGTGATAACAAAGATCAGTTGGATGCTAAGCAAAATTCAGCATAGGAATAGTCAGACAAAGTTAAAATGCTCTAAAATCACTCTAGTATTTAAAAATATGCAGAATATTTCATTGAAAATATCTTCTGGGAGTTCCCTGGTGGCCTAGTGGTTAGGATTCCAGGCTTTCACTGCCATGGCCCAGGTTCAACCCCTGGGTGGGGAACTGAGATCCCACAAGCCTCACAGAGCGGCCAAAAAGAAAAAGAAAGAAAAGAAAATATCTTCCTCGTTTTAACAGTTAGGATCCAAAGAGTGCATCTAACAACATCAAAATCTGCTGATCAAGATTGTTTAAACCTAAACTTTGATAAGAAGCTTTCAACATCCAATTCTATACCATTCACATCCCATATGCTCATTCGGGGTCATAATCATATGCTGTTTCCATGGCTGTTTAATTCTTGGGCTCTCCAATTAAAGAAGCCCTTCAAAAACAGGAACTAAGCCTTATTTTTATTTGTGCTCACCAGAGTGCCAAGCATAACCCTGAACACAGTATAGGACCTAAAGTAAATATCTGTTAAATAAATACAGAGAATTCATAACGCAACCGTGATGACTTCAGCGTCTATAATAATAGTGAACATATCATTGGCTGTTTCATTTGAAACCAGCTAATGCAAGGGACTAAAAACGTGTTTCAAACAAAACAGCCAATTAACCTTTCCTGCCTATTATGCTGCTTTTACTGAATGGACATCAGATGAATTCACTGTCATTGTGACCTGTTGACCACCTAGAGAAGCAGGAGGAACAAATACAAAGATGGGCCACTGTTTAGCTGCCTGTGCTCCAAGGACTGTGGGCCTCTTTGTAAGAATGATGGCTGACCCCGGGATATGATCCCCAAGGAGCCCATGTTTTCCCCACTCCCCTGAAGAGAGTTTTGAAGGCTCAGGTTATTGTTTATCTTGGCAAATGACCAGATGTCTGGACCAGAGTAAGGTCCAGAAAGCCTGATGTTATCTCCTTCCACCCCCTTCTTTTTGCACTCCCAGGAAAGATAGTCCAGAAATGGAACTAGATTCCATAAAATAGGACATGTGGCCATCTGTGTGCATGGCCTCCTTAGGCATACTTACGTCCACATTTATTGCCAAGGGTAAGGTTGCTCAAAGTTGCTATCGATTTTTAATTATGCAATGCTCTTGGTTTTCTTTATCAATTGAGTTTTTAGTGTGTTGTTTGGTTAACCCTACAACGTGTAGCAAGACATCTTTGTATATTTCTGATTTATCCTTTCCAATAACTAGACTAGAAGACAAGTTGTATACATGGCTGCTTAAATAGGAATAATCCATGCCTCTGTTGTTAGAAAAGTATGTATCAATTTTTCAAATTGTGATAAGACAGAGACACTTCACGCTTATGTGCTACTTATACGCTTGTGCTGTCAATTTTCAGCATGATATCAAGTGACTGTAATAAAGTTATTTTTAAAGTTAAAACAAAATAAGCACGCTGTACCAGAGGACTCTCACTCACTCCCAGGGAAGAACTTAGCCACTGAGAAGAATAGATCTCATTGTCCCTTTCAATTCAGTCACACTCTGGAGCTCACCAATTACATAACGGGGGCCAGCAAAAGGAATCTCAATTTATCACTATAGTTTAAAACTCAGAAATCAAATATGACATCCCCAAAACAGGCAGTCAACAGCATAATCCCATATCACCTGCACAGAACAAGCAAATGCACTTTAACCTTTTAATGAAAGCAGCCTCCTACAATCTGTTCTTATGCAAAGAATGAAACAAGGCTCAATAAAGAACTGAGTAGAATATGAAAACCTTCTCCCACAGTATTACAGACTATTTATAATTCACGGGGAAGGGAATTCTCAAAATAGCCTATTCTTGAACTGACAGAAATATCTTTACTCTGAAAGTTTAAAAAAAAAGTCTGAACTGATAGTCTATGAAAAATGGCCATTGCCCATCTATCTACAGGCTCTGATCAGGGGAGGTGCTCTCCTATTCTCTTCTATCAGCACCAAAATTGTGGTCACCTTGACCTTCAAGTCCATCACAAGGGCCCTGTCAGGGTAACAAAGGAGAAAGCTAGCACTCAACCTTATAAAATTTCACTGGGTTGGCACAGAATGTAAGCAGGGGAGTGCTGATGTGGAATCAGATCACTACACACAAATGCTCCAATCATCCCTGGAAAAAAAAATGATATAGTAGTGCATAATTTTCTTTCCTCTGGGTGTTTGACAGAAGGTATTTTGTAGATTATTTGAAGTTTCTTGAAAAGGGAGACTGAAGCCTTGTGTTTGCATATGAAATCTAACAACAGTACAGGAACTTGTGAAATATACTCACCCCAGTGCTCATGTTACCACTATTAACACAGCCAGCCAGACAAGGGTTAAAGTATGTAATTCCATCCGATCCACAGACTGGCTCATACTCGTGTATTTTACAACCACAATTCACATTGCAGCTTCCTGTCAGATTCCTATGAGGCATGGTCAGAGAAGGTCTAAGAGAAAAAAGTAGATCATGAGCAAAATTTGCTAAAATAAAACTCATAGGACAGTTCTTGATGTTCAGTCATGTGTCCGTTTTAGAGAAGATATTCCCATGAAATCAAAGCCGTGGTACCTTGACGTAGCACCCTAGATAATTATTTTTATGACTTTAAAACAAAACATAAAGAAAAATGTTTCAATTTTCTGGTCCTACAGATTCAGTAGATGTTCGTATCAAATTATTTATCATACCTCGATTCTATCCTCCATCTTGGTGATAAGGATCTGAGCTCAGAAGTTCTAACCTTCATATAACTAAACTACTCACTTACTATAGACACTTGGCTCTGTGTCTTAACAAATTGGACCCTCGATTTCTTTAACTGTAAAATGGAAGGAATACTCTTCTGTGCCAAACTAATAATATCATGATGAGGACATTAACATGGAATCCATCAATCAGAGTTATCAACATAAGGTCCTTTGACCAAAAACTTTAATTATTCTGGAATAAATTATCAAAGACAGACATGGGACTCTAGAAAATCAAAAGGAGGTGACTTTTCAAAGACCATCAGGAATCACATCACTGGTTTGATTCAGGTGACCAGAGAAGAACCATTAAATTCTCATTCCCTCAAGAATGCCCAGATGTGGATTTACAGGCAAACGTGATGGGTTCTGTTTTTTCATGAGATCATGATGTCAGATTCAAAGAAGTGATACAATATTTTAAACTCTAATAAAATCAGTTCAGGCAAGAAATATAAAAGGGGGAAAAGGGACTTCCCTGGCAGTCCAGTGGTTAGGACTCTGCACTTCCAATGCAGGGGGTGCGGGTTTGATCCCTGATTGGGGAACTAAGATCCCGCATGCCTCGTGGCCAAAAAACCAAAACATAAAACAGAAGCAATAGTGTAACAAATTCAGTAGAGACTTTAAAAATGGTCCACATGGGCTTCCCTGGTGGCGCAGTGCTTGAGAGTCCGCCTGCCGATGCAGGAGACGCGGG